AAAATTAATTTACTGAAAGGCCTTTTCGAAAAATAACTAAAATTCCTTACAGAAAAGTGTGTAGAGAATTTCAAGACATTTTTGACTAGCAATATATATATCAGAGCTTTTCCAATATTTCTTACGTATTTTGTTGAAAACTTTATTTTTCAAATCAAATATAAGGATGTTAGAGAGTATTAAAAATGCGAATATTAATCGAGTATATTGAAAATTATATACAATAATTATGTCAAAAATATACATTATTTTGATTGGTCTTCATCAAGATTTGAATTAAAATTCTTAAATATAAATCAAGAAACTGCTCTTTAAGTATAAAAATAAAGGGATAGTGGACTATCCTAATAAGAGATGTGCAATATAAGCCAACTTGGTTAACTATTTTTCCACACCACTGTGGCAGGTCCACTTTGCAACTCCTGCTGCTGAAGGCGCTCCATCAACTGCATTTAGCTATTCGCTTCGTTGGGCATGAGAAAAATGTCACCTCCACAGCCTCGGGTCCAAAGAATAAAGCCTGGGGATTGGGAATCGTGGCTTGGGACCGAGACAGGGACAATTGTCTGGTGCTGTCCGCTCGTCATTCCGGCATTCTGATGCCTTTTTTTGGGTAGAGAGGAGAATACGTCTAGGCGAATATGTCTCTCGACACCTTTCGGTCGGGGCTTTTGTTGTGGCAGCTGCTGCCTCGAGATATTATGTTATTATGGCAATTATAGTTACACGACTTTGGCGGCATCTATGGCATTTTTGGCCCGACGACAGCTTGGCATGTCTGCAGTCTTGCCCCTCGCCCCTCGCCCACAACCCTGGGCATATATGTATGCCCCGACTTCTATCCCAGATTCCCGCAGATAAGAGAAAGGCAGGCTGACTGCATTGCAATTACAAACATTTTAATGCAATTAACACACACCTGAGACGGGTGGCAGTTGGATGGAGGGGGTGGAGGGGGTAAAGGGGTGGTTGGACCATCTCATTTGCCTGGCTCTTTTGCAATCCGAAACTTCTCAGGCCGAAAAAAAAAAAAATCAACAACTGCAACAAAATAAGCAACTTCAAAAGCCGAAAGGCGACATTCGGTGCGTGTGTCAGTTCCCTGGGCCAATCTCTTGATGACGCCGCCACCGCTGCAGTTACCTGACCCCCTTCCCCCCTGTCACCCTTCACCACCTCATTTGTGAGGTTTTCATTATGCCCTTTAAAGGGGTATGCAAGTCTGTTGGAGAGGCTCACTGAAAAAGGGTTAGGTTTAGAAGAGTGCTAGTAAGGGCCCTCTTAAATATGAAGAATTTAAGTTTATAACAAGTGCTTTCTTTATTTATTTTGTATTCAGCTACTCCAGTCTCATCTTATAATAAATATCTAAGACATCTTAAACCATATTACAGTTCCATAATAGTTTTTCAAGGTCATCACACATAAAACTCAAGAGGCCTTTAATAAATAAACACCATAAAGTGGGACGTTTAAGTTACCGTTAGAAATTTGCTAATATGATATAATTTTTACAGAAACAATGAACTTATGGATAAAGTTCTTATGTCAGAAACAAAAGTTAGAAAATCGTAAAAGTTTGATTTATATGACAGATCTCTTATTATTCTTTATTGATAAAATCAATAAAATTACTTTTGTAATTTATTCTTTTCAATCATAGAAATATAATTTAAATTTTAAAAAACCAAAATAAAAGGAAGGTAAAGTAAAACTCCGCAACTGTATTAAAAGAAAGTTATTTTTATTTTACTTTTAACTTATTCTCTAAAATGGAAATTTGATTTTATCGTTTTGGCAACGTTTTTGTGCTGTCTTAGGAATATATAAACACAAAATATAATAATAATTCAATGTTAGTTTATAATTAATTAATGACTTTAAATTATTTTTATTGGAATTGCTAGTGTATAAAAATCGTCGTATTCGCTGAGTAATCTCCCCCTTGATTTGCCGCTCCAGTTGTTATCAGTGGCTGTGGCGAACCGGCAGATACTCAAAACGTTGTCGTCGTCGTCTGTCGTCGGTCGGCGTCTTTTGTAGTTGCCGCCTTGGGCTGCACTTACATGTGAAAGGTGGGAATGGACTCGGCGAGGATCCTGCTGATGCCGGAGGAGGGGGGACAGGGGCCGGGGAACTCCCCTTAATGCCATGTCCAGCAAATCGTTTTGACCATAACCCCACCACCAGAAAACGAGCACAATCAGTTTGCGCTTCATTTCATCGGTTTAATATGCAACACAAAAAAATTGTTTGTCTTCATTATCGCTGGGGAAAAAGGAGACACACACACATCCTGGCGGCCTGCACACCCTTTTTTTCCCATCCACTGCAACTGTCGCCAGCGGCATTCGAGGCCTCTGATCATCTGCGGCTTCCTTCGACTTCGGCTGCATTGTTTTGGCCCGCCTTTGGTCTTGGGAATTGGGAATCGGGAACGGGGTATATTCGTATCGATTCACGTCAGAGCTCTGACGTCGCAACGTCAGCCAGACGTTCAATAATATTCAAATCAGACGAAAAAAAAAAATCTTGCGCCAAAAACATTGCTAAGAATCTGGGGTTTGTGCAAAGCAAAGCTAAGATACTCTTACTTAATTAACAAAATATATTATTATATATTTTAATATTATAAATATGTAAATATATAAAGGAACACATCAAATCTTGAAAGTAAACAATATGTGTCTACTAATAATTTAATTGCAAAATTATTTGAATTAATGCTATTTTATTTTGTTATATTCATACGTTGTTAACCTAACTCAAATTAAAGATTAAAATAAATAATACCATTATCTACTTGATCTTTTAATTTAAGTGCCATTTAAATATAGTATTATCATTGTTCTTAACTATACTTAAAGGGTTTTAAAAATTCTGATAATTCTATGAACTTAACTCTTTAATGCTGGTTAGATTAAAAATTATAAATTCGTCGGCTAGAATATAAAATGCCTATCTAATTTCTGCGAACTTAGTTTATTTATATCGCAGTTATGTAAACATTTTATACCATTTCGCATTCTGAAGGCATTATACCCGCATTATTTGCGTTCGACTAAGTGTAGCGTATAGAAAGCAAAAGCAAAATGAGGCAATAATACATTTATGGAGCTATCGTCTAGACATTTGGCAATGCCGCCAGTGACGAAAGCATTTGGATATCGGAATCGCGGTGCGATAAAGTGAACAAAGCCACAAAAAAGCGTTATCAATGTAATCAAATGATATTGATTATTCACTTCTGTCTGACTGCCCGACTACCTGCCAGCCCAATGCCGAATGTTAATGTTCTCCAGGTCTGCCTTCTGTCTGCCTGCCCCTGGCATTTGTGTAGAATTAATGGCAAATCATTTATAATCCGACAGACAAACAGTCGAAGCCACAAAGCTTCCACCTTGACCGTCGGCATCTGCAATGTATACAATTGTGGCCAGACGCTTAGCACTAAGAATTGTGAATGTCTTTTTCTTAAACAGCTAAAAATGTAATCGTTTTATAAAGATTATTTTGTTGTTCCCAAGGCAAGTTAACTTGTGTACATCTTTGTTATAGATTAACTAATTTAAATAATATAATAGGATAACATAAAATCAGAAATATTTTAAAACAATGTAAAGTATATTATTTATTTAAAGAATGCTAACTTATAATTATAGCTAAGAGCTAACAAATAATGGTAGTAGCCTAGTAGGCTAGTTCGCCAGTTGTAATTATATTTATTGGGGGTATGTTGATTACAATATTTAAGTCTAGTAGTGTGGTGAAATATATATATATTTAATCTAATTATATTACCAAAAACCAATTTGTTGTTTCCTTAATTATGATACAAATATTGTCACTGTAACATTAAGAATTGCGAAATTACTGAAGTGGTGCTAATATATTGACATCAGCTATATATATTACGCAATCCGCTAAAGATTGGGTCAGCCTGAGGAGTGGGAACTAAGGAACTTAGTCAAGCGATTAGCTTCCGTTTCAGTGACTGGCTGTGGATGACTTGGCAGCCTTGATAGCCCGGGGATTTCACTAATCGGCGAGTGGGGAACGAAGGTAGCCTGAATTTGTATTCTAGGTCATTAGAGGAACAAAAACACCAACAACGAGGCTCACAAAAAACATTTCTGAACCCCATGAACCAACTGGAAGGGGAGTTGGTGTCACTGGGACTGGCAAAGGCATGCCAGGGAATATGTTTAATTTATTATTAATGGACAGACCCACCTCCTCTCTTACGGAGGTTTTTTTGATGAATTATTTTGTATGATGCTTTCAGACGTTCCTGGAAAATACCTTACTACCAAAAAAATATGTATGTACGATATTGAATTGAATTAAATTTAACTGAGACCAAGCCACAAAGAAAATACGAATGGTATTTAAAAGCAAGATTTCAAGCATTAATGCATATATTTAATTTGCAGTTAGGGTATTAAAAAAACTTCAACAAAATATCTGCAATACGTAGAAATTTATAAACGGAATAAAACAGGTCTATACTTTCCCAAATCTTAGTAATTTATATAGTTAGCTTATATATTTATACCGATATATCAAGCTATAGTAACTGCAGTTCAGGTTGATATATGTCACATGGCCGAAACAGATCTGGGTTACAATTAAAATATACAATATCAATAATTCAAGCAGCAATCGAAGCTGATTTCGTTTTTTTAATAATAGGTCATTAATTTGATCAACAACCGTAAACATTTTGTTTTGTATTTTTAAAATCATTAATTCCTTAAAAGATTATAGTAATTGCTCGGTATTATATAAAAGTATAAGTATTATTTTTGAAACGTTGCCTAAGCTTAGATTCTCTATTGTATGTAAATTTTGTACACTTTAAGCATTAAAAATGTAAAAGTAAATAACCATAAAGTAAATCTTGACAATAAATATTACTTTAATAGATTTATTTTCAGTCAAAAAATATTAGCTTATACATAATTTTGTTGCAGAAAATTTGCCAATCCTCTCAGTATATTTTAGTTCTGTCTATCCGATATTCTTATGTACACATTTACAACCGCCCGAACAATATTGTATGCGGACCATTCGGTAAAAATTGCATAGTCGCCATTTAACATGGGCATGTATTTCCCAAAATTCGAATCGATATTTCCAGTCCAAAGATGATCCACAATTATATCGTGCTTGTAATTGTTAGTTGTTAGAATGTGTTAATTAATTTTTATAGATTTACTTACATTGTAGGGACATGTGTGGTTGATGTTGGAACTATCCTTGTATGTATCATACAGTAATTTTATAAGCGGATGCTTTTGATTTTTAAGGAACTTGCAGGCATTGAAGGTAACGTCTATGAAAAATGGCTTATACCCGTGATCGTGACGCATGAACTTCAGTGTAAGCTGCAAAAAAACCAACAAAATCAGGTCCATGACATTTAAAAAATATTTTCAAACTCACTGTGACATTATCCACTGGTGTTTGAAACAAATTTGAATAAATATCGACGTACTTATGAGTACGGTTTACCGCCTTGATGTAACATTTTGTGAAATTAACGAACTTAACGTCTTTTGAGCTGCACTTTAAATTGGTAAACGTCACATGGCTTAGAGTCGTCTAGATGGAAAATATGTTTATTTTTCTACACTTGTATCACCTCAGAGTTTTACCGTCAGAAGCCCCAAAATAGTTAATATATAAAGAAACATTCGCATTGTGATCTTCACCAGTTAAGTTCGAATGTTATACAATGTTTATTTTTTGGTTGAAAAGTTTGAACAATGGTTTCTCATAATGACCAAGCCGATTAACCATTTTTCAGATAATTACGGGGAATGCTTATACTGCTAGCGATATATTAAAATCAAATCAGTTCACTGACAAACCATTAAACAATCGATTACGACTTGTTAAATGTAGTTCAAATTTAAGCTTTACTAATTTCAGGTTCATTTTAAAAAGCAATTCTAAATTTTTAAGTATAAAAAGTTGTGTTTTAGTTTTAAATTTATTATACATTTTAAAACAGATATGACAAAACTGTATGTGTACTATTCAAATTGAACACAACTGTATTTAAATTAGTTGATGATAATTATTTTTGTCTGTCCGATATTCTTATGTATATATTCAAAAAAGCCCGATCAATATTATTTACAGACCATTCGGAAAAAAGAGCATAATCGCCATCCATCATCGGAACATATTTCGAAAAATCCGATTCCAAATTTCCAGTCCATAAATGATCCAAAATTATGTCGTGCTAAAAAATATATGGTTATTGTTTGTATCAATTATGTTTTAATAGAGTTACTTACATCAAAGGGACATGTGTGGTTAATGTTTGAACTATTCTTGTATATGTCATAAAACATTTTCACAACCGGTTGCCGTTGATTTTTGAGGAACTTACAAGCGTTGAAGGAAAGGTCTACGAAAAATGGTTTATAGCCATGATCGTGCCGCATTAACTTTACGTTAACCTGCAAAACGTAAGAAACTTTAGGCTCACAACTTTTCTTTTTTATTTGAACTTACTGTGATATTATCCACTGGCTTTTGAAAAAGATTCATATAAATATCGATGTATTTATGTGTACGGTTCACCGCTTTGATGTCGCATTTCTCAAATTCCATGAAATTTCTGTCCCTTGATCCGCACTTAAGATTCGTGAACGTCACATGGCTGAGGATCGTCTAGATGGAAGAACTAAATTTATTAACCTCCACTTTAATGCACTCTGAGTTTTACCTTTAGGGATCCCAAAATAAATAATGTATAGAGAAACAGTCGCATGATCTTTACCAGTTGGAATGAAAGTTAACAATATTTGATTGAATTTTTGAACCAAATGAGTTTTTCAATAATGACCAGTTACATTAACAATTGTGAAGTTAATTATGCAAGTTTAGTTCACTTAGAAAAACATTAACTGTTTCCATCAAACAAATGTTAAATAAATTACATGGAATTAAAGGTGTGCTATTTTATATCCCTTTTAAAAGTCATGTACGCAAAAACGAATTTTTGGAGTTAAGCGAATTATAGTTTAATAATTACCAGGGTTAGTTATAAATTTAAATTTTTCGTGTGGACAAATAATACATTTTAAAATAGAAATAAGAACCAAAACATTATGCAACAAAATTTGTATAGTTAGCTTTAAAATGAAATAAATTTAACAAAATTTAATTAAAGCATTTCCGAAATGCCTTTGGTATCCTTAAATAAAATCTTCAGTTTTTTATTTTAAAGTAAGCATTGATCAACAAGCGAGGCTTGTTTGGAATATAATACGTTGAGTAGAGGGCATACTCTCCATTGGGCACCGGAAGATATTGTAGGAACGCCTGTTCCAGATTGCCAGTCCAAAATTTGTCAACCAAAATATCATGCTAAATTGTCAACGGCTTTATTAGGATACAAAAATATCATTTTTTAATATACTCACATTGTAAGGGCAAGTATGATTAAAGTTTGAAGCATTGACGAACGTTGAGTGTATTTCTTTTAAAAATATCATTGATCGATGTTGTGGATTCTTCATATACTGGCAAAAATTAAACTTCATAGCCGTAAAAAACGGCCTATATCCATTGTCGAATCTCATAGCTTCTAATTTTACCTATAATGTTCACAAAAGAAGTTACTCAACCTCTTAGATCTTAGATATTAACACTTACCATTAGAGTATTGATGGGAAGTTTATTTAGTTTCAAATGTAGATCAATGTATTTATGCGTTCGATTCACTGCCTTTATTCGACATATTTCAAAACTTCCAAAATTGCTGTCGATCATTTCGCACTTCAAATTGGTGAAGCTGACATGACCTACAGAGCACTTCAAAGAAATAATTCTTAGAAATATAATGATTTTATAAAAGGCTGCTTACGGTTGCAAAGCAGCTCAAAAACACCCAGATCTTCCACATTTTTGGTTCTTTACTGAACTGAAACTTTTCATATGTTTCCACTTTAATCTTCGTTATCCATCTAGATTTAATGGTACCTAAGCAGTTTAATGATATCGCATCCATTAGCTTTTAATAACAATAGATAATGGCAGCACAAAAAATATGTGTTCGTATTTCGATTTAAATTGAGAAATTATACAATGTTTTGAGTAGGTTTTATTGGTCCACGAAAGTTTGTGATTACTAATAATTACAGTTTAAATTCCACGGAGGACAGGTCAGAATTTGCGCTCATTAACAATAATGTAAATCCGGTATTTGGAAGAGTTAACATATAGTAATAGCACTTTGATTAAATCAAATAAAAACTAATGTTTAATAATCTTCTGTTAAACAAAAGTGGAAAATTTTTAAATGTTAGTTCCAACGATTCCCATATTTCCTTTAATGAAAAAGATCATTATTCTTCCTGATTCAGACAAGTTTCTACAAGGTTTTTGGATTTACATATTTTTCGATCTAACCGGGCCAGAAAACAAATCAAAAAACAAAACCCAGACAAAACCGAAACAGAACCTGTAAAATTAATGTGCTGGCAGAAGAGATGACTTAAGTGAGGCCTGGCTGAGAAGTTGGAAATGGAAATAAAACTGGCCAGAAGAGGTAGCTGCCCCGCCACAAAAATACACTCCAGACAAAAGGAATTTTATTGGCCTTCACTTAACGCTCATAAATTTGTCTGCTGCGAAATCTGCGAGACGAGTCCAGAAAGCGAGGCAACAGAAATTAAAAGAATATTGTTTATAGTGCCACGCTTCCGCAGATGTCTGGTTGTCTGATGTCTGATGTCGGGAACTGGTTCGGAAACACACAGTTTGCCTTTCGAGGCGAGAGACGTTTTGTAAGAGTTTCCCATTTCCCATTAAAATATTGTTGCAGAATACACCAGATCCCACCCATTTCTTGTTCCCGCTGCCAGTGGCCGCGGGTGAGTGCCGAACTTCACGCACAAATCTGATTAAAACTCGGTCCCAGTTAATGAACCAAGACCCCGACTGTTGCCCTTCTTCCCCCTCTGGAGTCACAGTTCTGGAGTGCAGTTCGAGTTCGGGAAGTCTGCATCTGGATGGACTGCAGCAGGAAGATGGCCAGCCAGTAAGTCGCAGAGATAGCGAGCCGTCTAAAAATAGCCACCAGAACCACATGTTGGTCAAGTTTTTGACTCCTTTCCCCGGTTTTTAATACCCTCGCCGAAGAGGGTATAGCTGAACTACAATAAGACACATTTTTGAAGCTTATTTTTTAAGGATAGGTATTTATTTGATTGACTTTTATGTATGGATAATATTAAAAATTGCTATCTTACTTTAAATGTATTATTTAGAAAATATTATGTACTAATCCATATATATTTATATTTATATTCAATTTACTTTAGATAGAATTAATACAATATATAATTTAAGATATTTAACAATGATCATTATATACAATATATAATATTATAAAATTAGCTGGTTAATATTGAGAATTATATTTTAAGTACAACTTTACTATGAAACTTTATTTTATATAATAATTAAATTTACTATGAGACTCTATTTTAAATGATTTAAAGTGACATTTAACAATTGAAAAAAACAGCCTAAATACTCTTCTTATGGTATTATTTCCCAACTTTAGTTTTCCTTTCGGATGCCCATTTTTTGTTGCCTTGCCTAGCAAATGTTACCCACATCTGTCTCCATGCTGCAGTCGCAGTTTTAGTGGCAGTCCGAGTTCGAGACCTCGCTGCAGCACGAGTGCCCCAACCCACCCCAGCCCACCCCATCCTATCCCATCCCATCCAATCCAATCCCATCCAGTCGCCGGTGCAACAGCAACCATCTTTTAATAAATGCGAACGTGATCGCGTTTCGTGCGTCACTGCATGCCCAGACAACTCACACCGGCACACACACATACTGTATGCCATATACTGGAATATAAAGACCCGACTTTTCGAGGCGTTGCACCTTTGGCAAAGGTGCATTGATCGGGATTGGGATCGCTGTCTGGGCAAGTTTCTTCTGCTCCTCCAACTCCTCCTTGTCCACCTCCTTTTTTCCGCGGCCATTGGCTGCGCTTATTTTGTGTACTTCTTTTTTTTGTTGTTGTATTTTTTGTATTTTTCTTTCTTTTTGTTCATTTTGTAAAACGAAATTATTATTGTATTATGCACGCGTATACACAGCCAAGTATCCGGAGACAGAGCTTCTTTTCCCTTATTTTTTCCTTACATTTTTTTGTTAACGACGCGTGCGTCGAGAGCCGAAAGTGCGTTCAATGAACGCAATGCGGAGCAACGATCGGGAATGGGAATGGAGATGGGAATGGGATCGGGATTGGGATTGGGAATGGCCAGACGATAACGCCGGACATCGGGGGCCGATTGGGGGGGATAATGGGGAAGGGGGGCGGTCGATCTGGTGCGACTAACTTGAGTCAGCGGGAGTGTGTTTGTACGCCCTTGGCATGGAATGGCCATATCATAACCGGCTGGCTGGCACTTTTGTGAAATCACTTCGTGGAGCACTCCGATATGCAGCAGGGTCAATAGTATTATTAAAATAACATTGTATTGTCAACCAAGATAAACTGGTTATAGCAAATGAGTAAGTTAAACTGCGTTATAAAAATGTTAACCTTTTCATATCATATAAAGTAAACATTTATTTTTTTAATTTACTAGCCAGACTACACATTTTTCTATAGGTTAGTTTATTTGTAAGTCCTTACTGATATATCCTGGTACGTAGATATTTAAACCATAATTTACAGTTAATCTATAATAAATAAAACATTTTTAGTACTTTCTATATAGTAATGCCATTTTTGTTGGCTAATTAAAAGAGCAGTTCCAAGAAAAGTGTAAATTTTTATTTCATTTACACTTAAGTTGGGAGAGATAGTTGCAAAGATAAACCGCGGCTATCAGTGAATGACTCCAGCCAGAGATTCCAATGGGATTCCGTGGAAAAACGGCGACACGTGCGCATTGCCATTTGAAATTTGGATGCGACAGTGCGTTATCGCAATCGCAGGGCACATGCAGTTCATCGAACGAAAAGCGCTGATTACGACCCAGTCGAATCGAGTCGAGTTGAGTCGATGAATGGGCCTGGCAATCTGGATTACAGGGAGCCAGAGCCAGAACTCCTCCTGCCCTCCAACCGCCGACGACGGCTACCCACAAATCAGTAAATGAAATTAACTCGCTTTCAATCGAGCAACGTTTAAACACTGTCTGATGGCATCAATCGTGGCTACGTCGCCGTTGATAATAATAAACCAATAAAATTAATACAAATTGCAATTGTTGTGTGTGTTGTGGCTCGATTGGCGCGACACACTTCAATTGGTTTGCTCTTTTCAGCCTTTCTGCTTTGCGTTCGCCCGGCGTTCCTTCTTTTTTTTTTTATTTGCCTTTTATTACGCACATATTTATTTAATGCAGGTCTGTCTGTCTAGAGGCCCTTCCCCGCACTTCCCAATCCCCAGTTGTCCACCATTCTAGACTGTCATGTGTGCGTCTGCCGCGTTGCGTGTTTGTTTGTTTGTTTATTTTATTGTTTGCCCTTGTTTTGCTGCTCCTGCCGACGGCTGCAGCAATCGAATGTCTGGATGTATAATATACAGTAATATTCAGAGTGATTCAAGACTTCCAGAGGTGTTTTAAAAACAATGTGGGGAAATTGAATTTTGATTATTTGGCAATTACATTTTCTACGATCTGTTTTATTCAATTCATTGATTATTAAAAAGCAACGCAGTTATTTAAATATATTAATAAGTTAATAAAAATATTTCTCGTATGGTCTTTAAAGTTAAGACCCAATCGCAAAAATACCTTCAACTCATTTGCATAAACATTTACAAATTCGTAACTTTTCAAATTTCAGTTAACTGTTTACATACACCCAAATAACCCATGGGCGCAACATATAAGTAGCGAAAAACACACAAAAGTTCCATTTTAACCAAACAACAATTTTCCCCAAAAAAAGTCTTTCCAGGAAAATTGAAATCAAACAGTTTAGCATAAATGCGTATGAAAGTCTAAAGCTGTCATCAAACACATTTCTTATGTTGTCATTTATTTTCGAGGCATATTAAAATAAATAGCAAGGCTCAAAATACAAACACTCACAAACACACACACACGCGCGTGCGAAAATATCTAGGATCCTTTTTTATTCGAGTGAGGCCACGTGGTATTTGTTTAGGAGGCAAGAACGCATTTTTGCGGCATAACTTTCGATGAATTCCGGCTAAGTCCCGAAAATTTAACGTCATCAACAGCGACGAGGGAAACACGTTGCGTATGCTTTATTTTGTTGGGCCTGCCATACAAACACGTTACGTATACGCCACCGTCTGCGCCAGACCGGAAGAAAGAGTGGGATGCAGAGGGAAAGAGGGAAAGAGAACTCAAATATGCGTAGGCCGCATACATACAAACTCGACTGTGTCCTTGAGAATTATTCCCAGCACCTTTCCCACATTTTCCGCATTGTGGGCACTCCAAGTTTATCAGCTGCGTTCAGCTCTCAATTGTGAGCCGCCGGCTTTCTCGTGTTTCCCGCTTTGCTCCCTCTTTCCGAACCCCCCATTCCCCCCCCCATATTTTCAGGCTCAGCTTAACGCGTTTGAAGCGCATATCCTGCGTCGTCATCCTCGCTTATGCGTAGTTAGTTGTCTGCCGCTTTTGTGGCCTAAGCTTTTATTTTATTCTACGACCCGAACTCTTACTCCTTCTCCTGCTCCTGATCCTTGCTCCTCGTTAATCCCATACTCGTTGTGTCTGGTCCTTCCAAAATTCCGATGCCACAACGCACACACAGACAGACAAACAATTGTATAAGCGTCGAGTGGAGGAAAAGGACTCCGAGAAGGGGACAAACTGGAGTCTCCGGTGTAATGTAATTTGGTGGAATTCCATGGAAAATAAGGTAGATTTCAGTCACGCTACCCAAGTTTTGGATTATGAAATACATTCAGGCACTTAAGCTAAACAACCTATTACAGTAGCAATTATACACAATACGATGTGAAAACTGTTTAAATAAAATTTAAAATAAATATAAAGCGCTAGAAATAAAACCTAAATTTGTAAATAATATTATCATCAAAACATTGAATTTTTATAATAATGTAATGAAACCGACTTTTAAAATTCACATATTACAAAGCATTAACTATTTAAATTACTCAGTTTCTTAGTTATTGTAAATGTAACAATTTTCCACAAGACTTTTAAACAACTTGCCAAAAAGAAAAACAATTAAAACTTTGGCAGGCAAATTCATACATCACTTGATATTTACAAATAATGAATTCCTTGGCAGGCTGTTTCAAATATTTTCATATATGCTCACCATACTTAGCATATTCTTGGCCCAAATAGATTCCCAATATGTCATAAAAAGATAAATTGTCGTACCAATATTAGGGCATTTCAAAAGTCCATGTTGTCGGTCGCTTTTGTGGCAGAAATGTTTGCTGGCATATTTAGTCTGCGGATCTTGAAGGTTAAATATATGTAAACACACCTTTTGTATATCCCATGGGCATTATGCAGTCGCCAGTTGTTGTTGTCCCACTCTGCCCCCAGCCACGCCCCCACCGCCCCTCTGCCACCCCCTCTGCGGCTGTCTGTCTGCGCCACTGCCTGCCAGTTTGTCTGGCAGTTTTGACTTGTTTGCCAAATGGCGTACAAGATATTTATGCATATTAAAACAATTTGCTTATTATGCCTGAATAATTGAGTGAGCACCAGAGCCGACGAGTACTGAAATCCGTATCTCAATCTAAATTTGAATCAGACGGGGTATGAATATACAGTACATGATGCTTAAATGCTAAAATTATAAGCTTCGCACTTTTGTATGCATAAAAAATGTATTTGCATACAAACAATTGGATAAAAATAACTTACAGCTGCATGTATTTATGGTCATAGTAGAAGTTTGTTCATTATTCATTTCAATATGTTCAGATATGTTTTAGTAATATTATATAACAATGTTAGAAATATACAGCATTGAAAGAAGTATCAAAACAAAATGTTAAACAATTGTTGATATACTTATCATCGCATTGTGGACCAGATCTAA